GCGAGTGGTGCTGCCGTGGTTCACACGCGGGGCGCCCGTCGTTTTTACGGCAGCTCTGCAGAGGCAGCGTCCTGAGCTCTGGGAAGCGAGGGCCGAAAAGTCCAGGTGCCCCCAGCGCATAGCCCCTCGTGGTTCTTTAGCACGGTTAGTGGGGTGGGCGGATCCTGTCCACTCACAGCGTGTCCTGCTAGCCTGGGTCCTGGTCCTCACCACTGCCCGCCCTGCCGCCTCCCCCGGCTGTGTGGAAAGGAGCAGAGACATGGTCATCCCCTGCCATGGGCGCCGTCTGCCCCTGAGGCTGCTCCAGGTGCCTTCTGGAGCTGTCCCAATGCGAATCCCACCCGAGGGCCCGGCCCCTCTGGCTGGCACCCGAGACCCACTTCCCCTGGGAGCCACTGCCAGGCCGTGTTCTGGGGAAGGGGAAGGACCTGCCGTTGCTTGCCTGTGCCCATGCATGGTCCGCTGTGCCACAGTGGACGTCACCACCCGCTTCGATGAGGTGTTCTGGTTTGGAGACTTCAACTTCCGCCTGAGCGGCGGGCGCACGGCCGTGGACACCCTCCTGTGCCAGGGCCTGGTGGTGGACGTGCCGGCGCTGCTGCAGCATGACCAGCTCATCCGAGAGATGCGGAAAGGTGAGGGCCTGGGAGGGGGGCGGGCGTGGCGGGAGATGAGGAAAGGTGAGGGCCTGGGGTGCCGCGGCTGGCACGAGCTGGTCTGAGCCAGTCCGGGTGCCCATCCTGTGGCAGGGTCCATCTTCAAGGGCTTCCAGGAGCCGGACATCCACTTCCTCCCGTCATACAAGTTTGACATCGGGAAGGACACGTACGACAGCACCTCCAAGCAGAGGACACCCTCATACACGGTGAGCCCCGCCCGTGGCCGGCGCAGAGTGCTTCCAGGGCGGGCACCTCCCACAGCCGGGAGCCAATGCCTGGCATCAGGGGTCTGAATCTGGACGGCCTTGACTTGAACCTCAGCTCTACACCCTGGCCTCGTGGCGAGTCCCCTTTGGTGGAGAACGGCACCCTCTCCATGGGTGTTTTCAAGGCTGGGTGAGCCGACTGGCACACAGGGCACCGGCCATGCCCTCGCCCCTGGCGTGCAGAGCCTCTGCCCGTTGCACCCTCACTCACCCTTCCGCCAGGCCCGTGGCTGCAGCTCTGGGCACGTCCCGATGTGTGCTGGACGCCTCAAGAAGCCACTGAGGCAGGTCAGGGTAGGAGTAGCCGCTGTTCACAGGGTCTCCAGCAGCGAGGGACAGGCCCTGGCCCAGCTGGCCACAGACACCAGGCAACAAAATGGGCATAAGTGTCGGGGGTCCCAGAAGGCTCCCTCAGGGGGCACTTGAGAACAGCGGGGAGGGGAGTGGGCCACGCCCCACAGCGCCTCAGGAGTAACTGGACTTCCTCCCTCCGGAATCTTCCCGAAGGACCGTGTCTTGTACAGAAGCCGCCACAAGGGTGACATCTGTCCCGTGAGCTACTCCTCCTGCCCCGGGATCAAGACCTCCGACCACCGCCCTGTGTACGGCCTCTTCCGGGTGAAAGTGAGGCCGGGGCGAGACAAGTCAGTGTTCTCCCGCGCACCTTCCCTCTCGGGCCCGGGGGTGGGGCCGTCATCCCGTGAGCTGAGAGGGTCCCTGTCTTCGTGGGGTCCACTCGGGGCTTTGTCCTGGGACCTTCAGGGCTGTGCTCCCCCAGGATCGGTCGGACTCATCCTGGAGCAGGACGAAGGCAGGAAGGGGAGAGGCTCTGAACAGTGAAGAGGCCCAGCTGGGGGGCTGGGTGTGGCCAGCTGGAGGGAGGAAGGCCTTAAGCACTCAGGTGTCCGCCCCATCCTTCCTGTGGCTCTCCCAGGAACAGGCCTCTGTGTGCTTAGAGGCAGTGCCAACCCGGGCCAGCGCCCACCTAACAACCCCTCCTTGTGGTCCTGGGCGTCCTCCTAACGCCCCCTCGTCGGGCCCGACCCCCTCCTAACGCCCCCTCCTCCGGGCCCG